CCCCCCCCCCCCCCGCCCCCCCACACGATGCCAAGCTTTGCAACAGAATGCCAGCCGCTGCGACAACGTGTTGAGGGTTATCAATTATCAAATTATCACCTAACTAGGCAGAGAGATAGATGCACACCAGCAATGCAGCAAATACTAGCTTTGTTTGCTGCACACAAGACTCTTCCTCCCGCTGACGTCGCCAGACGATCTCCGTAGATCTGGTGAATCCATGTCACAATCTGTAATTGTATTGCTCCCCTTTCCTTCATTCACTCATGTCTTGCCTTGATCAGTCACGCCTTGACGGTTATCTGCTCCCCGTTGTTAAGTCGATGCTGTTGGGGTTGCATGAAAAAGGCCGTTTCAGACCTTTCTCGTACTCCGCAGCTGTTGCACGCGACCGTCAAATCAAGCCTATCTGTCGTATGTAAGGCAACCATGAGCAGTGCTCCAGTTTGCCAGGCCGATCGTTGCCACAGCAGCGTATCCGTCAACGGATGTTGTGCCGCTATAGCCGAGTGCTCGATGGTTGTGGCTGGATGGTGATCACTGCCAAAGTCTCAAAATACCACCTTGATGTTGCGTGATTGTTTTTAAATACAACAAAGTCTCATTCACTGCCTTTGTACACAGTAGCAAGACAACTCAGTCCAGTGCGACCAGAGCGCCTGATGACATTTGCCTTTATTTTGTGGAAGCAGAGACAACGGGTGCCAGCAATAACGCCTGCAGAGCCATATTCCACAAAAACCTTATGTCTTCCAGCGTGGAAGGAGGGACCAAGGTGCCAGCAACAGTGCCGGCAGAGAGCCGTACTCCGTAAACCCTTCATTTAGATCCAAAGCCAGCCGCAGAGGGTTCACGTCACAAGCACGCTGACACACGATACCCGAGGCACAGCAGCCCCCCAGGCACGCTCAGATATAACTAAGTTACCCGAGGCACAACAGCCTCTCGGAAAGCACCCGTTGGTGTCAGTAATCCGCACAGTTTTTTCCAAGTAAGCAAACACAATGGATATAGAGTAAGAAATGGCTGATTGTCTTCAGATGACTAGTGGGAAGGCGGGATCCCTGTGGATGTAGACGCTAACTTGTTGCGGGGTGTGACCAAGGTAGGAGTATACCGCCAGTATACTTCCTTGTCCATACGCACCCGGGGTTCCTGGTAGTCTAGTGCTGATTGGACAGTTTCTGTGTTGATGCCTCGCACAGCTGCCGCCAGCAACCCTGCTGCACGAACTGCGGTAGGATATCGAACACACGAACGAGTACGTTTTGCTGAAGACGAAATTTTCTAACAAGGAAACATGTGTTAATGATGAACGAGACCACAACGAAGCACCCGGGAGGGAAGGTTTTATCGCCACGGCCTTCTCTGGAACGGATAGCCTGCTGTGCGCTTGGATTACATTGTTTTCTGAAGCCAAGATTTTCTAAATCTCTGAAGATAGTATTGTTGAACACTGAAGAACGAGCAAGTGTGAGTGGTGAACGAACGAGCGAACAATCGAATATGAGTTTCGAACAACCGTTCTTTTTCTCAAGACTGGACAACGAACGTGAAAAGTGAACCAGCGAACAAACGAACGACTACGATTTTGAAGTACAAAATTTGTGACAAAAAAACCCGTGTGAATGATGGACGAAAACACGATGCAGCACCCGGGAGGAAACGTTATCTTCACGCATGCCGGGGACGACTTCACGGACATCTTCGCCGCCTTCCACCCTCCGACGGCCTACGCCGTACTGGAGCCCTTCTACATCGGGGACCTCGACGAGAAGAGCGCCGTGGCCAAGCCGGCCGCCCAGAGAGCGTTTGAGCGATCGTACCGGGAGCTCAGGAGCAAGCTCCTCACGATGGGCATGTACAACTCGGAGTGAGTGTGTTTGTTCATTCTTGAGGGGTTTGACGCAAACAGTTCGTCTCTTCCACAGAGCATGGTCACCTCAGAGTAAGCTTTTTTGTATGGAGTGCTTCTGTGTTTCACTATTAATACAACAAATTCATCTCTACCCGCAGAGAAGAGAGTCTGGGAGTAGATCAGCAATTAATTGAAAGCGTTACCAATATTTATGCAACGATTTCATAGCGTTATCAGGCACCACCCGTGTTTCTACGATTCCTCGAGCCGCATATGTACATGCTTGATCGGCTTCATAAGTCGCGTGGGAAGGGATTGCTGTGTCCTTCTCGCGATAAAAATATCTCAGGCAGGGACCGTAGGAGGGGGTCCAACCCCCCCCCTCTTATGTGACCCCGGTTGGGTCGTCTAGCCGGTAGAAGTGGAGGATAGGGGCCAGAGGGGCAGACGACAGAGTCCAATGATGGG